ACTGGATGGGGGCCGGTGTACAGGACAAACATATCAATTATGACACTAGCAGTTGCTTAATCTAGAAACTGTACTTGTGGTCGATCTCGAACCCAATGATGATGTGACGATGTCTATAGAATTTTGTAACTAACTCATCAAGATTGTAATTTGCTTAGCTAAATAAATTGTGGGGTTCAGTCCCTGAGCCCATTATGTGCCTCTGTAACCCTTTCCACTACCGCCCACAAGATGGGTATGGGGTGCACAATAGATGAACTAAAGTAAACTACGAATCGGACTCTAGTCTGACGCGAGCGCTATGAAAGCGTGGGCAGTGAAGGTGTTCCACTGTATCCTCCTGGGTCGGACACCACTGGCAGTATGGGAAGATGTTGTTGTTGGTACTAATCTGTATATGGAGTCTGTCTCCACCACATAAATTCCCAATTGCCCAATCACTTGGGCTGGACAGTAGAGCAACGGTCTCGCTGCATGCAGATCGACATTCAATCCCCGACCATCCAAGTGGTTGGGCACCATTCCTTCCCCCGTCCCATCACAAATCCTTATCGTGACCCCTTCCAAGTGCTATATAGTCGTAATGGCTTGGTACTTTCCCTTGATAATTCCCGCCCTCCCACCACCACATCAATTCCTAATGCATTTCATTTCATTCCTAATGCAAGTAAATTCAGATAAATTTCTTGATTACCTGACAATGAAAAAATTCTTTCTAATGTCTCTGTGCCTCATTTGGGTACTCAGTTATCACTTGTGACGCCCTGTGCGAGTACCATCCGTGTTAAATAATCTGTCTTTATCTACCTTGTCAATTTTCCTGAGAATTTTGTAAATAGTACTTAGATATCCCTTAACTCTTCCGTCTACCAGCGACGTAAGGAGCACTTCATGCATCCTTTCCTCACAATTCATACCTCGTAGTTCTGGCACTAGTCTAGTGGCATGCCTATGAACCTTCTCCAACTTCGTCTTATGCTTGAAAAGGTATGGACTCCATGTTGGTGCCGCATATTCCAGGATTGGTCTAACATTTGTTGTATACGAGGTATACAAGCCCTTACACAAATTTCTGAAGGTAGTTCTGATGTTAGCCTGCTTTGCATACGCTGCTGATGATATCCTTTTTATGTGGGCTTCAGGAGATAGGTTCGGTGTAACATGAACTGCTAGGTCCTTCTCTGTCCGTTTTTTCGTCTCCCATTCAATACCCTGTGTCTATAGCCTCTTGTTCCTCCACCTAGCTTTAGTGCACTTGCGTTAAAGCGTTCCTGGTATGAGAGTCGACTTAGTTCTAAAATTATTTTTGTTGCCCGGTGTTTAACTTTCTCCAAAGCAGATATGTCTTTCTGTAGATGAGCTAGTCTCCATTCTTGGATGGAATAATGCAAGAGGGGCACTCCAGAGATTTATACAGTTGAATAATCACCTTCTTTTCCTTGTAGTCAAAGATTCGTTTCACCTGCACATTACTTCATGTCTGAAGTTGTGTGACCTGAGCGTTAGCTCCTGTCTGAAGTTGTGAGACCAGCGCGTTAGCTTTTGTCTAAAGTTGTGTGACCAGCGCGTTAGCTTCTGTCTGAAGTTGCGTGATCTGCGCGTTAGCTCCTGCCTTAACAAGTGACTGATATTTTTATCAGATTACAATTGACTGATAAGCTAAGATAGGCGAGGTGAGTTATGGGGCACCAGACAGTATCAGTGAGTCTTCAGATGGCGGAGCTTCCTCTACTGTTCTTGTTGGTGCTCGGTTTGTTTACGCAATGTAAGGCACAACCCGGTAATGTTTATAGCACGTAACACATGGCACAACCTGGTGTTCTAATGTTTATAGCACGTAACACATGGCACAACCTGGTGTTCTAATGTTTATAGCACGTAACACATGGCACAACCCGGTGTTCTAATGTTTATAGCACGTAACACATGGCACAACCCGGTGTTCTAATGTTTATAGCACGTAACACATGGCACAACCCGGTGTTCTAATGTTTATAGCACGTAACACATGGCACAGCCCGGTGTTCTAATGTTTATAGCACGTAACACATGGCACAGCCCGGTGTTCTAATGTTTATAGCACGTAACACATGGCACAGCCCGGTGTTCTAATGTTTATAGCACGTAACACATGGCACAGCCCGGTGTTCTAATGTTTATAGCACGTAACACATGGCACAACCCGGTGTTCTAATGTTTATAGCACGTAACACATGGCACAGCCCGGTGTTCTAATGTTTATAGCACCACATGGCACAACCCGGTGTTCTAATGTTTATAGCACGTAACACATGGCACAGCCCGGTGTTCTAATGTTTATAGCACGTAACACATGGCACAACCCGGTGTTCTAATGTTTATAGCACGTAACACATGGCACAACCCGGTGTTCTAATGTTTATAGCACGTAACACATGGCACAACCCGGTGTTCTAATGTTTATAGCACGTAACACATGGCACAACCCGGTGTTCTAATGTTTATAGCACGTAACACATGGCACAGCCCGGTGTTCTAATGTTTATAGCACGTAACACATGGCACAGCCCGGTGTTCTAATGTTTATAGCACGTAACACATGGCACAGCCCGGTGTTCTAATGTTTATAGCACGTAACACATGGCACAGCCCGGTGTTCTAATGTTTATAGCACGTAACACATGGCACAGCCCGGTGTTCTAATGTTTATAGCACGTAACACATGGCACAGCCCGGTGTTCTAATGTTTATAGCACGTAACACATGGCACAGCCCGGTGTTCTAATGTTTATAGCACGTAACACATGGCACAGCCCGGTGTTCTAATGTTTATAGCACGTAACACATGGCACAACCCGGTGTTCTAATGTTAATAACATGTAACTCAAAACATTGATGACCCAACTTTAAATACTCTAGTCCCAGGACAATAAGCGTGTGTCACATGTTTTGTTAAAAATAATCTCCATCACATGAGCCTCTCTCCTTCAGTTGCATCTGGACGAGCTTAGTGACGACTTATTATTATTAACATCTTTATTGACAAAATTAATTACAATTTTGCCTAATCTGAGGATTTTAATAAAGTCTTATTAAAGTGAGGAAAATGCTGGTATTCACTGTCACGCAGGACAGAGGGTCATACATAAGACAATAGGTCTAAACTGTAGGCTGAAGCACATATATCATGGTTACAATCAATGTTTTAATGTATGGATATGTGAAAACAACTTTCTATTGTGCACTGCTGAAGCAAGAAGTGACTCGGTGTTGACTAATGCTTCGTAGTGAGGAATAGGGAAGAGTGGAACTTAACTCCACCAGAACCTAAATGTATATAAACAAAATTCAAGGGAATTTAGGTAAATAAAAAGATTGGTGGGTAATCATTACCAATACTTTCTCACCTGAAAGTTCCGAGACGCTAAAGTGAAATTTCTTCAAGTTCTGAATTTCTTCAAATTTCTGAAGCAGTTCTGGACATTTGTTAACGGTTCTGGACACGCACAAATTGGGCGATAATAGAAAAAAAGGAGATGATAGTCACATACAAGCTATACAAAAAGACACACGAGAAAACAGATAAAAAAAAAAGTTGTTTTATAGCAATAAATTAACAGAATTAGAAGTTATAGTTGTAGCCTAGAGAAGAAAAGACATTGAAAGGATAGGGAAAGTGGTAGTTTAAGAGCAGAGTGGTGGAAGGCTGGAGTACATTCCTGGACGAGGTACCAACTACTTAGGCTGGACGGTAGAGCAACGGTCTCGCTTCGTGCAGGTCGACATTCAATCCCCGATCGTCCAAGTGGTTGGGCACCATTCCTTCCTCCCGTCCCATCCCAAATCCTTATCCTGATCCCTTCCCACTGTTATATAGTCGTAATGGCTTGGCACTTTCTCCTGACAATTCCCTTCCCTGCAGTACGAGGTTGTGTGTTGACACCGTTCCCAGTCTTCAAATTATGTGTGGAAATATATTCATGTAAAAAGGGACACCTCATGCATAGCCCTCATATGTAATTTTAAATATCATTCTTCATAGTAGTAGTAGTAGGCATCCATCAGTCTCAGAAGACTATGGAGTTGCGCTCTGGTGTCGGCCTGGTCTGGAGTGGCCTCACCAGGGCGCAAAGCCAGGGTCGGATGATTCGGGGGAGAAGCTGTTACCCAGGCAGCAGGTCCCCCCCTCTCTACAGCGCTGAAAGTCTCCAATGGAAAAGCAAACATATTTTATTGTGATATCATTCTTCATATTACCACAATAAAAACAGCAAATTACAATAACGTTAAATAAGATGGCCACTTGAATTTAGCTGAAGCAATATAAGGAAATAAAGATAGATACTGGGAAAAAGGTGACCCAAGGAACAGAATAACATGAAAAAGACAACTCAATACAGACATTTAAAAAATAAGAGTTGACAGCACAGCAAATCTATCAACAAAAGTACATGCCTTTACAATCCTTGACGTGCCTGTACAATCCTTGACGTGCTTGTACAATCCTTGACGTGCCTGTACAACCCTTGACGTGCCTGTACAATCCTTGACGTGCCTGTACAATCCTTGACGTGCCTGTACAACCCTTGACGTGCCTGTACAACCCTTGACGTGCCTGTACAATCCTTGACGTGCCTGTACAACCCTTGACGTGCCTGTACAATCCTTGGCGTGCCTGTCTGCATAAGCTTTGACATGTCTGTGCAACCCTCTACATGTCTGTACAACTCTTGACATGTCTGTGCAACTCTTAACATGTCTGTATCTCCCTTACCAGTATAATCTTTGAGCGACCCCTCTTTCACATGTATAACCAATAGCTAACCTCCCCTGCCTTGCCTAGACAACAGCTGCCTCTCCTGTGTCAGAATTCTTGCCTGGACTCTCCAACCCTCTGAATCCCTTCTGATCGACCTATGCAACCCCTCCGCAGATGCGATTGCCCCCCCCCTACCCTCACCCTTTCTCACATGTGCAATCCAAATCTCTCGTGAACAACAGAAGCTCCGCCTGTACAAGTCACCTCGTCCCAACCAGCACGTTGCTTGCCTCACCTGCAACGGAGCGGGTGGCAGGTACCCAGGTGTACACGACGCCCCACTTGTCGAGAGACCAGGTGACGTTGACGATGGCCGAGAGGTCGCCCTCAATGTGACACTCCAGTTGGTAGTTCAAGTCATCAGATCCCAGGTTCATGTACTGCTGCTGCTGTCCGGCCTTCGTCAGGTAGATCCCCTTCACCTGTACCCTCCCCAGAGTACCTGTCGGAGGAGGAGATGAGTTAGACGGTGTCTGAGGAGAACGGGAGGTGTAGGAGAAACTGGTAGATTAAATGTGGACAGGAGACAGGGAGGGTTGGTGGTTGGATGAGGCGGACAGAAGTATGGGGGAAGATATTACAGACAGACAGAGAATGATATTAGTGAATATTAGTACTGTATCAGATCTCTAGTTTTTAGTTATGTGGGACTCGGTTCTCAGCCTACCACATGCTCGAGCTGTTTAGCTCCAGCGCCGCCATTGTGGCTAGTCTCTGGACTCTTTCAATTCTTCTTCTTTATTAGATGATTTCCATACTGGTGTTGCATGTTCAGGAACTGGTCTCACGCGAGTGAAAGTTTTCTGAATTCTTCGTGTTCCATGTTTCTTAAATGCAGTTATTTTATTTACCAGCTTTCTGTGTGCCGCTGACAATATCCTGTTCAGATGTTATCTTGAGGTTATCTTGAGATGATTTCGGGGCTTTAGTGTCCCCGCGGCCCAGTCCTCGACCAGGCCTCCACCCCCAGGAAGCAGCCCGTGACAGCTGACTAACACCCAGGTACCTATTTTACTGCTAGGTAACAGGGGCATAGGGTGAAAGAAACTCGGCCCATTGTTTCTCGCCGGCGCCTGGGATCGAACCCAGGACCACAGGATCACAAGTCCCGCGTGCTGTCCGCTCGGCCGACCGGCTCCCAAGGGTTGTACAGGCACGTCAAGGGTTGTACAGGCACGTCAAGGGTTGTACAGGCACGTCAAGGGTTGTACAGGCACGTCAAGGATTGTACAGGCACGTCAAGGGTTGTACAGGCACGTCAAGGGTTGTGCAGGCACGTCAAGGGTTGTACAGGCACGTCAAGGATTGTACAGGCACGTCAAGGATTGTACAGGCACGTCAAGGGTTGTACAGGCACGTCAAGGGTTGTCCCGGAGGTCCAGGGACACCATCCAAGCTCCCGGCTCCAAGAGGAGCCGAACCTGAGACAGCGTAGTCATCCGAAAGGAGGGGCAATGAACCCAGGGGTTCAGACGGGACAAGTCCAGAATGAACCGCAGGTCCGCGCAGTCCCGTTTCGGAACCGGAAACAGACGGGAAACCCATCTGAGGGACGACGTCGTTTCGACGACGCCCAAGCGTACCCACTCCAAGACGACTCGACAGAGCGCAGGGAAAGAAGCCTGCCCCGTCAGCCCCGACCCCCCAGAGGGGGGAGGGGCCACCCAACGCCACCGCAGGCCGCGAGACACGACCCGAAAGGCCCACGAATCGTGGGACCAGGCGCGGGCGAACAGCGCAAGCCGCCCCCCCATCGCCCCGTCAAAGGGGCAAACCGCGAAAGGGCCGGCGACCCTTACGAGACCCAGAACCCCGCACAGCGCGAACACCGCGCCGACCAGACGAGGGAGGGTCCGCAGGAGGAGCCAACCCCAAACCTGACACCAGAGGCCTACCACGACGAGAGGAACCCCGAGCCCTGGCACGACCTTTCCGGGAAGACCCACCCCGGGACCCCCGGAAAACCAACAAGTCCGACATCGGACGACAAGCCGCCGACGCAGCCTGAATAAACTGCGCCACGGCCGACTCCCCAAACAGGACAGGACAAAAAGGTGAAGAACGCCTAAGAGCCAGAGCCCAAGCAGATTCCACGGAGGAACCCAGCACCGCCTGCCGACACGCGAGACGGGAAGCATAGAACAGGGAAACCGCATCCCGCAAAATCGGCGTGAACAGCTTCAACAAGGCAGCCGACGAACGCGCAGCCGAGGACAAGGTGCTGGACCCCGGGACGGACCCAAGTGTCCCCACATCCTCCACGAGCCAATCCGAAGACAGCTCCAGGAGGGAAAAGAACCGCAAGGCCGAACACAAAAGGCCCCGAGCGCGCAAGTCCTCCGCCACGAGCGCCGCCGAAAGGGAGGGAACCTGCACATGGAGCTCAATAACGCCCACATCGCGGGGAAGGGCAGGGGCAAACAAGCACTCATTCAGGTACTCAAGTTCACCCCCCAGGAAAACCTGAAGCACCGTGGAAGCTTCCCGCCACTCCAGCGTGCGGGAACGACAGAAGGAATGCCAGGAATCCAGACCAAACAAGGGGCAGTCTGCTAGCCAGGATGACTCCGGAACCTCGTAACGGAGCCAGAAAGGGAACGAAGTCCCAAACCTGAACGTGGACGGATCCATTTCCGAGGCATAATCCGGGTCACGCAGGAGGTAAGCTGCAAAGGCCGCTCGCACCACACCAGGTTGGATGCGATAAGCCGAAAACCTCCGGAAAGACGGAACCGACGTACCCGGGGGAACACGGAACCGTACCCGGGGAGGGGCCGACACCAAATCCAACTCGTACGCAGAGGGGGGGAAAGAAAACCCCACTCCTTGTAACAATAAGCCCCGCTCAGTGGGAAGAAAAACCCAGGCGGGGTCCAGCGGGGCCCAAGGCCCCCAAGTCAGCCCCTCCCCAGCCTCGAGGTCCGTCACCACAGGACCCGAGGCCGAGTCCTCTCCCCAAGCCCCGACCCCACAAGACAAGGACGGAGCAGCCGGAAAAGCTGGAGGAAGGGGGGACCACTGGTCAGACCCTGAAGCTTCGGCCGGGAGACAAGACTCGAATGCCTCTGCCGCCCCCCCGGAAGGGGCAACCCCCGAAGCTGCCCGAGTCTCGAGATCAAGTAACCCCTGCTCCGACCCCGAAACCCTCAGACGCTTCGGGGCCGGAAGCAGGGGCGGGGGACCAGAACGAACAGAAGGGGAAGGACGAGGAGGTGTGGACTGAACCAGGATCGAAGCGACCCCCACCCCCAAGTCCGGGTCTCGAAAAGCAAAGCGGGGCAGCCCCGGGGCATCCGGGGAAGCAACCAACCGAGCGCGTTGCAACAGACGAAACCTAGACTGCAACGCACGTGCCGCCTGTACCCGAATAGAATCATCAGAGGATTGGGTAAATTGAGTCACAAGCAAGCAGCAACACTCACAGGACTCAGGGTCGAAAGTATCACCGACCCAACAGGCAGCGTGGCAGAGGCAAAAACAATGAGGGTCACCCTGAGACAAGGGGACCGAGCAACCCTCAAACTCGCACACAGCGAGTGGGGACTCCGGGGTCACATCCATCGGACCCACGCGCCCCCTAGGGGATTCCCAGGGTCCTGAGCGTTTACTTTAAGAGGACTCGCGCTCAGGTAGTCCCAGGCAGGGTGCTGCAAACCGGCGCCCAAAACTACCAAGCAAACTTCTAAAGCTGAACCCCAGGGACGTGTACACTCACGGGGACCTAGCAGGGGGCGCCACCAAGGAGAACAGTGGAAGGGCAAAAACAAACTGAATAAAATGACAGAACCCCCCACCAGGCAAAAACAAAAAGAAAAACAAAACCCCGCAAGAGGACAGCGAACCCCAAGGAACAGAGCCGGCCGCGATGTCAGGAATTACAAGCTGAGCAGCACCCTGCGCCCCTACCAGTGCAAACTGCCTCTTACCTGCCGGTAACAAGGGAGAACAGAACACCCAAGAGCCCAACAGGCGGCCGAAAAACCGAAAGGTAAAACGGACCAGCAGAGGCAGACCCCGAGGAGCCTGTGGAAGGTGGCCCCAAGCCCCAAGGGCAGTACTTACAGGGCACCTAGGGAAGGCAGCCCTAGGCGCATGCAGCCCGAGTACTGAAGATAACTCCTGGCTCTCGCACCCACAAAACTAACACCACACTCAAAGCACAGTGCAGTAGCGACACCGGAGCCAGAGCACACGACCATCGCCTATAGCATCAGCCTCAAGAACTGAGGTGTGGGTAGCCGGCGCGGGGGGTCTGGGGCTCCCCCTTCCCCCTCCCGGGGAGGGGGGAGCTGCGCAGACAGCGGCGCGGCAGTGTGTGACGTCACACTAATTTGCTTGTTTTCGGTTGGGGAGTTCTATCCACTAGTTCGGTATTAGGTAGCAATTTTAACCAGAATAGGGGTCTGTTTTGGGGCGATTACCTTTCTGGGTGCCTGTTCCGGTCGATGGCAGACATAGAATGCTTCCAACTACACGGGGGCTTCTATAGGCCATTGCTCCCCTTGCCTCTCTGAGGGGGCCCGGTTCTGGCCGTGGTCCCCGGTAGGCCTAAGAACTCCATACACATGACTGATGCCAAAGTCTGACATTAGCATATCAGCCTGGGATAGCTCCGGGGAGCCGACGGGGCTCCCCCCAGAAAAATTTCACTAATACATATATTTAAGTTTTTTCTGTTAGAAAATCTGCAAAGCTCAGAATTACTATCAGATTCTGTCTCTATCATGAGTGATACCAAGTGAATGAACGGTATTCACATTATGCTGATATTTAGCCAAAACAAAATGGCATTATAGTAAATATATGGTATAATATATCTGAATGTATGGATCAAAGATAAATATGGGAGAATGCTAACGGGTGACAAAAAAAATTAGGGAAAGGTGAAAGAAATTCTATACTGTACAGTACTTTGAAAGTTAGACAGGTAAAATTTATGAAAAAAAAGTGAATATATGAATATGATTGATTCTGCTGGGAAGAGATGAGTACAGGATAAAATATTAGATGATGTATCCATGAAGAGAGACAAACAAAAACTTGCTGGATAATTGTGCTCGTAATGAATGAAATATTCACAACTATTTGCAGTATTTTCACCTGGTGCGTTTTATATATATTCGTGGCGTGAGGGTGATGATAGTGGGTGAGTGTATACCTTGAGTATACTTTGAGTTGGTTTCAGGGCTTAACGTCCCCGTGGCCCGGTCATTGCCCAGGCCTCCTCGTTGCTGGACTAGTCAACCAGGCTGTTGGGTGTGGCTGCTCGCAGCCTGATGTATGAATCACAGCCTGGTTGATCAGGTATCCTTTGGAGGTGCTTATAAAAGGACCCAGGTCACTCTTGCAGCAGAACAGAAGTACTTGGGCAATGTTTTCTTTTACCTGATGCCGGTTTTCCTAGCTGTAAATAGGTATGCAATTTATACAACCCACTATTTAACTGTAGTGGGTTGCATCCTTGAGAAGGTTAGTAATTGGCCAATAAGAACTCCATAAGCCTAACATTCTTGCTGCCTCAAACCATTGGAAGCCAAATATCTAAAATTTATATGAGTACGTACAATATTAAATATAATGAAGGAAAAGACTGTACTTATATAAACTTTCACCAACTGACCAGAAGGCTGAAATTTATGTTATATGCTACAACTCATAACCAATTGCATATACAATTACCAAAACAACTTTGGATGCCTATTTTGGAAATAAAAACTACCTGAAGTAAGGCATTTTGAGAGCTTGAGTACAGCTGCATCTCTTGGAAGGGTTAATCATTAGCAGGGACCCAAGAAGCTGCAACAAATCATCACTAGCAGCAAGGAAGAGATCACGAAGTGGAGATCCATCAAAATGCTTGAATGATACATAGTCAGGAAGTTTTGTTAGATCCTGTTAGAAAAAGTAATGTCATTAATTCATAACAGTGATAAAGTGTTGAATCAATATTAAGAAATAATGTAATGAAATACTTTCAATAAGCTACCTATTAAGCACAGCAATAAAATGCTACTTCTGCATGGCACCTTTGTACCTTACCTTGAGGTGTTTCCGGGGCTAAGAATCCCCGCAGCCCAGTTGTCGACCAGGCCTCACTTGCGGGTCTTTCCCAGAGTTTAAAGCACTAAAACCTTCCCACAGTTTAAAGTGCTAGCACATCACAGGGCTGTCCCAAAATATTTGGTTTTTAAGGCACTAGCACATCAGGGCTGTCCCAAAACATTTGGTATTTAAGGCACTAGCACATCAGGACTGTCCCAAAACATTTTATATTTAAAGCCTTTTTGGCCTACCAAGAGCTAAGACAAAAATCTGGCCCCCTCAAAAGGTCATCGGTGCACACAGGGATCAAATGACAAACCTACAACCGAGATGAACCACTCAGAGAGTCAAATGGCAAAGCAAAACCAACAACAGCAATATGAGAAGAATGAAAAGGCAAAGCAACCCAGCAGATAATTGGAGCAGTCAACTACATTTGCTCTTCCAGCAACTACCACATGCCAGCTAAGGTCACCCAGCCAGCCAAACTCCTCACTGCCAAGTCCCCAGTCCCCAACCCTAGGGAAAGAAATGAGGACAGAGTACAAAAGGGGAGCTACTAAGATGTTGCAGAGATAGTGGAGTTACATTACACTAATGCTCTATTTTTGTTCTAGTCCCCCTAAGCATTTCTCTGAAACTTTCTCAACAATGCCTTGGAGAGGAGAATGGGTTTCCTGAAAGAGAACAACAGAAACATGGAAAGAGCTTATCATTGCAAGAAGGAGGCAGATCTCTAGGGGATGAATGAAGTATATATCAGTGATATGCCACCTGTCCAAGCACAACACATCCACATCAAGGACATGGAATATCCAGGAGACAACAAGTAACCAACACCCAATTGAACCACCTGATCTGCCAAGCCACAATATTAGCCATGGACATGTTACCAAAGAAATCCACTGAAGCGACTTACCCCACATCACGTATAGAGGAATAAGCATCTAACTGGTTAAACTTGGTGATTACTAGATGATCTGAGACAACCCTGGCCTTAGAACATGGGACTTTGGGCCTGAAACTGAGGAACAAGGCATGCTCATGAGATGCACAAATAGTGTGCAAACAACGCTGCAGCGTATGAACAAACCTATAGTTGATCAACTGCAACGGCTTCCTCCCGGGAGGTAGATGTCTCATTCTTAGCAAACAAGAAAGAGAAGGATGGAGATGAAGAGTGAGCATCCACACTAAAAACATAAAACCCTTGCAACTGACAGTGAGCATGAAGTTCACTGATCCAACTCCCTAATAGCAAAGCCCTAAAAAATGCTGTCATGTAGAAACAATCCTTGAGAAAGTGAGGCGAGGCGAAGAATAAACTGAACTTAACGATCAAGGTTTTAGAGGCACACGGGCTGACTGAAGGTGGAAGTAGGCAGGAAGATTAATTAAGAAAGGGAGATGAGGCAAACTCCACACCAAAACCAAGGAAGCAATGTGACACCAAAGCCAAACAATTAGAGGAGACAGTTTTGAGCATCAAATAGTGTTCCCAGATGAGTGTTTCATGGTTCATGTATATCATGGGAATGGGAATTTCATGGGAACTGTGTTCCCATGAAATTCTTACTAGCTGAATCACTAATCCCTATTGAAGCCCAATACTCACTGAATTCCTACAAATGTCAATGAATCAATGAATATAAAGTCCTTCGCATTTCATTTCCTCAATACTTTATATTCCACATAACACACTACAATCTTACTTGATTTATAACTACATAGAAAATGGAGCAATGTGAGGGGGCAGACTGAGGAAGTGTGTAAGGTGATGGGCATGAGTGGTGTCTGAGGGAGGTGGGAACGGTAGTGAGGTAAGTGAGATGCACGTGATGAAAGCATTGTTGACCCAAAGCTCATAGTTACACAAAGAAAATTCCTAAAGTTACACTTGCCTTACGACAAATGACTTAATACGAGGTAAATAAGTAGAACAAATTGGAAGCAGATGTGTTGGAAGCCACCTCCAGTCACACATGGAAGAGCAGATATAATACATAACAAGAATATCTAGAATAATAAATACAGCAGGTACCCAATAACTGCCAATAAAAATGAGTATGTAAACATAAATGTTTGTTAATTAAAAAGAGTAATTTCTTTAACAGATAATTTGTAAAATAAATACAACTTTATTTAAATCCAATCATTCATGACATCATATATCACCATATCAAATGAGCAAACTGAATAATGTCATTTTGTTTGCTATTAGAATACTGTACTGCATTTTAGTTTTCCTACTGATTTTTTGTTTTTTAATAAGTACTTATATACAAACTTAAAAATATAAAGTAATGGACATATTAAAGAAGGAGAAGTATTATAAATATATATTTACCTTCCAGTTATCATCTGTGGGCGTACCAAGAGCAGTAAATATTCTAGTGAGTTGGTCCAGATCCGAGTCCCCTGGAAAATATGGGCAGCGTACCAGCATTTCAGCCAGGATGCAACCGACTGCCCACATATCAACTCCAGTTCCATATGATCGTGCTCCAAACAATAGTTCAGGACTCCTGAAATGCATAAAGTACAATAAATATTTTTCAAATGACATACTGAATATACAAGAATAAAATTAAAACCACAAAATACTGTACCTCCCAACCTGGGCCACTCAGTGACTTTAAAATTACAGTCCCTCATGGGACAATACTAACTCCACAGTGCATCATAGCAAACTTCTCATCTCTGACTACAACAGGGATCTTTCCTAAACATCCCACCAGGCCATACCTGGAGATAATCAAACACTGGAGGCTTCTTAATACAGATTATAATTATTTCAGAAGTACTGTACATTCATCCACACTTCATACACTGCCTCCCAGCAATACTTGATGGCAAAGTGGAAGAAAGAGGAGGAAGCTACGCCAAAATGAAAAAAATTAATTTCTTTATCGTAAGCATTGATCATTTGATTAATACTGTAATTATGCTTCCAAGAGTGAAAATCCAGATGTTGGAAGTTTGCCTCCATACTATAGATGGAACAAAGAGCTGATCATGAGGAAGGCCATTAAAAAATAAGGCAGGTCAAAACAGATATATTTGGTAAGACCTGAAAACCAAGGACCTTTAGCCATCAAAACATCAGCATCTGCCAATCAAAACCGAATTTGTCAAGCACTTGTAAAGTAATTTGAAGTTTGGCTAGGTTGATTAAGCTGCTAATAGGATCACTATATTTTTAGATTCATGCAAAATATATACAATACAGTATTTAAGTTCTTAAATTTTAATGTGTACAGTGTTATGTTTCTGTACTCTAAAGTACAATACAGAACTGTATTCCTATTTAAGGGCAATCAAGACAGCCTTGAACTTCACAAAGTTGATGTTTATTTTAACTCAACCTTATTTATTTCTAGGTGTCATATATATAAATAGAATGGGGGTACCACCTCTGACTGGAAGAAGGAGACACATAGCCTCAGAGAAAAGTACACAAAACATATTAGAGGGAATTTTCTGGTCCCCTCCATGCAGTTACCATGTTCTTTTGTCCTACTACCCCCCGCCCTTCTTCTTGTGCTTTGTTTTGCTTTATTAAATATTTAAAGATTACAGGTTATTCAATGGTGAATACAATGAATGCTTAAAAGTTGTGGATCTCTTGAAGCTCCTCTGCTTCTATGTATGTATACTGTATATATATATTTTTCCATCCTGTCTTCCTAAAACGAAAGTACCGATATGTAGAGATGGACCACTAGAAAGTTGACTTTTGTAATATTGAATTTGGACAAACCGGAAATTTTTTAACCGCAAAATAAATATAAGGCCTAACTTAACCTCTCCTAGCAATCCTGGACCTAATACACACTATCTTAGGCCTAATGTGGTACATATATGTGCTATACTAGGCCTAAGAATGTTTAAGCTTAGTGTTTAACTTTACTTTTTCTGGACTATGAAATTAATACCTGCAGTACAAACAGAGGTTTACTGCTGATCCATCAGTACCAATACCAATATTGGTACTTTCAACCAAATACAGTGGTACCTCGCATAACGAATTTAATCCGTTCCATGTTCGTCATGTGAAACGGACGTCATACAAAACAAGTGTGCCCCATGTAACCAGTGTGATGCACTGTGTTTATTGTGAAATTCCCCAGTGTGCATGACATCAAATGTTCCCCAAAATATCATTTTTCTTTGCAAAATGATAAATTACCGTCCCTGAACATGTCTATGTGAAAGTAATTACCAAATTCCACTTACTTTGGCTGTGAGGGCGTGGACAAGGTGCGCTGTGACGTCATCAGGGCCTGGTCGCCTGTGTGTGAAGCTCCCAGACACGGTCGCGCAGGCCATTCAAGCACTGCATGTTGCCACAAATATATTTACAAATATTTGTTCTATGCATTTCCAATGCGGTTTTATTTGTTTCTTTTATCGTATATGATGCATATTTGTGACCTTTACAATATGTATACAGTAGAATGTTCATAATTTTCCATGAAACTGTGATACATGTGTCAGTAATGTGTCCACAATAAATGTTTATTGTCACAATATTACGTGGTAAAAATTCACTAAAATTACAATATGTACAGTTTCACATACTATTTACACAGTAACACACTGTATTACACACTCAGTACTTTGGAGGTGTGTAATAGTCAACGAAGTAGTCCATGGTACACAGCGCGACTTTGCTCTCCTTGCACCAGCTACAGATAGATTTTCGTTTCCTGTTTCATCGTTCTGTGTGCTTGCAAATAACGCTCTCGTGTGCACCCTTGGCTTTAATACTTGTAGGTGGTATGTAGCCAAGCTTGTAAAGCATAAGGTAGTATTGAAATGATTATAGGAAAAGCTCAGTTTGTAAGGTAGTCTTGAAAAGATCGCTTTGTAAGGTCCCACACAGGAAGAGATTCAGCCTCAAAGAGTGTCCATCAGTCAGGAAGAGATTCAGCTAGCCTCAAAGAGTGTCCATCAGTCAGGAAGAGATTCAGGTATTCTTGAAAATATCAATGAACAACACCACCATGGAAGCCGCTAACACTGTTCATCTATGCTACTTGTATCAGATGCATCGTCATTGAACGCAGAAAACTATTCATCTATGTATCATCTATATACATTAGAGATGGCAAGGGTGGGGCTCAGAGCTACACCTGGATACGCTTGCTGTATCATCCTCATAGGTGCTGTATCACTGGCATCCGACCGTTGTGTTAAGCCCTTATTGCGCCTAGCTTCACCAATGTTATGACCCCTTGTTCTTCAAACAATAGGGTCTGAATTGCACCGACTGAGCGCAGTCTTTCAACACCGTGTGGGACAGGTGTTTGAGAGCCAGAGGCACGTGTGCTACAAATGGTTGCTCACGCAGTACTAACCCAGCCAGCAGCCCTTGTCTTTCATATTCGTTATAACAAAAGGTTCGTTCAGTGTTTGTCGGGTAGGCTGCTCCATTATGACAATCTTTCTTTGTTTCAAATGTGTTCCATTTGTTTTGTATTTGTCACTTACGTCTCAATAATGGAGCAGCCTACCCGACAAACACTGAACGAACCTTCATGGCATTTGTCCATTTTTCAAATTGTTTCAACAGTTCTTTTATTTTTCGTTTTTTTTTTATTTAAGAAACATGGAGTAGCCGACCTGTAGACCACCGAATGAACCTTTTTGACATTTGTACTGGTTTTCAAAATTCTTCATTTTTTTTTATTATTTACGTTTTTTGTATGTAAGAAACATGGAGCAGCCTACCTGCCGACCACCGAACGAACCTTTTGCTATAAGACAAATGAAAAATACATATTGAACACATTTGAAGAAAGGAAAATGTCATAATGGTTTATTCAGTGTATGTAAGATAGGCTTCTCCATTATTGAGACGTAAATGAAAATTACAAAACAAATGGAACACATTTGAAACAAAGAAAGATTGTTATAATGGAGCAGCCTACCTGCCGAACACCGAACGAACCTTTTTGACATTTGTTGTATATCAGACATTTCATTTATTTTTTCCTGCAAAAACGTCAATGCTTTGCAACATCTCAGCAGTCACCCTTTTATATCCCAGCAACATTAGCATCTTTAAACAAGAACAACATAATTTATGTGCATCGTCGGAGGCGTCTAAGAATGTGCAAGAAGCAGTGCGACCCCACCGTGTGGTGTTGACGTTACGCAAACCAGCGTTCGTCATACGGGACGATTTGATGCCGATCGGGCCGTTCGTTACCCAAAATGTTCGTCTTTTGGGGCAATCGTTATGCGAGGTACCACTGTAATTCCTGTATGTACTAGCATTTCAGGAGGATGGGTTGCAATATTTACATCCTAAAATTAAAGAATACTTACCTATACCACCGAGTGACCACTTTATGTGAATATTGTCTATTTGGGGAGCCAAAAAATCGTGCTAATCCAAAATCCCCAATCTTTAATACTCCCTCAGAATTTACTAATAGATTATTAGGTTTCAGATCCTGAAATGAAAATGAAAATAATATTTAGTAATTCACTTAATGAATTTTTTTATGAAAATTAGCACATTACATGTTTATTACTCAAGTGTAATACACTACCCTTTCTGGGCAGCTACTCAAGTGATCCCCAGAACGTGTGCACTGGCACTTGTGATAAAACCTTCTAACAGGACATTTATGACGACCCTGGCCTACCAGGAGCAAGGATCAGAATTTCACCCTCTAAGAGGTGGGAGAGCATGTTCGCTGAAACGCAAGTCACAATAACTCACAAAAATCATAGAAAATGTACGCTAACTTAATATCAAATAAAACTCAAAATATCCAAAACCTCACTTGACTAACTCTTCTCCACTGCCAGCCAATCAGGGATTTAAGTGAGGTGCATTGCATGCCTCATTCTCAAGCTAAAGGTAACCCAACAACCCTATTTATGGGCAAGAATTAGGTAGGAAATGGGCAGCTACTGAGGAGCCACCCATAAAGAGGCATTTCATTACACTCAATGTTCTCTTTCTGGCATGGCCTCTTCAGTTCCTGCCAGAGATTTCTTATTATAGCACTTTATATGAGAAACCAAACCAAATATATATGGTGAAAAGAAAAGGGAAAAGTAAATGTTTTTGTGTGTACTGTATGTTGAAGTCATGGACACAGATTCTGAGCAAAAGGGGAGTAAGCTGTGCATGTTACTGAATCAAATATTGAATTTAATGAGAAATCCTTTTCTGATGGGACTCTCAGTAACTATTCAGGCCAAGTGCTGGGATGTTACCGAATGATCAGATCAACAGTTCATCCTAAGGTCTGGCTAATCTTAGGTGATCTGGGCCACTACCCGAGGGTGCCATCCTATAAATTAATTCTAATAAAACCATCCTATAAATTAATTCTAATAAAACCTTAAAGTATCCCTATGAAGTATGCCTAAGTAATTGTCAAATGTTAAAGAAAACATAACTCTCATACCCTGTGTAAAATCCAGTGGAGATGCAGATATTCCAATCCCCGTATTGTCTGCAAGATATACGCTTTTATATTTGCTGGCGTTAGGATGATGTTATCTGTATCTTTGATTATGACCTGAAAGTAAATTTCATATATTAACAAAAATACATTGTTAATAAAAATAATATATTGCAACAGCTTCCATCATAATCATTATTCTAAATTCCAATTTCATGGGCTGGAGAGTCATCAGGCCAGAAATTTATTTTGACAGGACGAGAAAAGAAAGATTAAAAATACAGTAAAGTACTTAAAAGAAATTAAATGTTTTGGCTCAGATTTCAAGTACTGTACAGTAATTTAAAGTCCAAAGGATGAAGAGCTTTTGCGACATGAAATAAAGACGACAATAGAGAATAGGAAAAAACTCATGACACCACAATAAGGTACAACAAGGAGCCTTAGCACTATGAATACATCTTTCAATTATCAGATCAATTACATTCAATGATTAATTACCATTCTGGATGTATATTAATGCATGACAAGTATTAGCATAATAATAAAAATATGTCCTTAATAAAATATTAAGGACATATTTTTGTTGTTTTTAGAAATGTTCAGGTAAGGTTAATGTCAAAATGTTTCCAAACTCAACCATTTTCATTTCAAAATACAAAGAGTAATGAAAACATTAAAAAACATTAAAATATAGCCTAATTAAAAAAAAAATACTCTCGGAGCGTCTTAGGGTGCTCTGCGCAGTACAGTGGTTACAGAGAGCTCTGTACTCATTCTAAATTTCCTAACATTATTTATGCTAGCTTCTATTCTACAAATACAGTGTAAATCTAAACAGTTCATTCGCTAATTTTGGCAACCTTTAAACCATTTTACCACATCTCTAAACGCTATATAAAGTATTCTCTCTTTGAAGATCACTTTGCCTTATCAAATCCACAGTCCCATCAAAGCCAATTTAGCATGTGTGTTCTGATTTTCCCATTTTGTTTTTGCCTTTACAACAATACAGTTCACAACAAGAAACACCAAGTTGCCATTTTAGTCAAAATATCACTATCAATAAAGTTCATTTTCAAATTGATGTGTGCCTACAGCACTGTTAGCACTTAGTAACATAAGAAAAGTAGGGAAAAGTCGAGTGTAGTTTCAACCTACACTTGAAATAATCCATCAATTCTCCAGCTATTATGTTATACAATTTGTTCCATAGCTCAATAATCCTGTTTCCAAACCATTATCTATGCAGTTTTTGCCCGAATCTAAACTACTACAGTTTGATCCACTGTGTGTTCCCATTAACTAATATATTTTATAACACAGCACCACTATATTTCCTAAATCAGATAACACTTACTTCCAGATCAGTATCCATAAAATCAAACACTAGTGAGACATTTGATTTATAGCCAAACACATCCAAAAGACCAATTAGGTTAAGATGGTGAACTTCTTGTAGCAGTTTTATTTCACGCAGCGCTGTACGGTTTATGCCATCTCTTGCTTCTTCCCTACTCCCAAGTTTGATCTGTTAAGAAATGCAAGTATGCTTTTAATCAGCCATTACCAAGTATGATTTACAGAATATTTACCAACAAACACAACATGTTACAAGACAAAATGTAAAACACTTATTTTCCAGCTGATATTCCCACAAATTCAAGCTGAACCTATGGATATCAATGATGTCAGAAAAGACATAGGGCGGCAGTTTATTTCACAAAATTCCCCTTGTAATTATAAAACAAAATGGCAACATACTTTGTTCTGGGTTTAACAACAGGAACTATTGCTAAAGCAGACGATGAGTCACAATAACATGGCTGAAGATATGATGACCACACACACACATCAGAAAATGAAGAAAATAATGACGTTTCGTCCGTCCCGGACCATTATCAAGTCATCGTGTGTTGTTAAACTATTGCTAACTCTTCCTTTTCTAATCTTCATGAATTCATCAGGCTTCTCTCATCTTACAACTAAATAAATAATAAATTATACCCGTTACTAACACTACTTGGAGCATACCTGGAGGGTTCTGGGAGTTCTTCTACTCCCCGAGCCCGGCCCATGGTCAGGCTAGATAGTTTACCTAGATATGTTTTATCATAACAAATCAACAGTGGTATCCCAGAGGACAGCAGTTCTTAAGATACAAAAATTTAACAAGGTAGAACTGTACTTAAGGGTTGCAATGATTACATGGTGATATAATGAGCACAGGGGATGCAATAATTACAGGATACTGATAGGAGTACAGGGGATTCCAATGATTACAGATTTTGATGAGTACAGGAGTTGCAATGATTAGGGTGCTGTACTGAGTACAGGGATTGCAATAATTAGGGTGCTGTACTGAGTACAAGAGTTGCAATGATTAGGGTGATGTACTGAGTACAAGGGGTTGTAATTATTACTGGATGTAATGAGTGCAGAGGTTGCAATGAGAGCAGGATATTGTTTATGAGTACAAGGAACATATTAATGCCATGAAGAATAATAAACCCAGGGAAAATAATGAGCATAGTAAGATCAGGAAGTACAGTATAGAGAACTTAATAAGCATACTACAGGACCTGTAAATACAATATACAGTATATGTATAATGGGTATATATATACTATAATGAGTACAGAGTATAATGAGTACAGGGAGTGCAGTACTATATAATTGTAGCGAGTAGATTATCCCAAGAATATACTCGCTCCAAATGGATTGTTAATATTCCTGTCAACCTTTGGAGATGAATGAGGCGAGGCGTTGCCCGGGCAACACGGTGAGGTGTTGCCCGAGCATATAAGCAGCAGAATAGCAAACATTAACCAGAGTCTACTTTCAAGTGTGGTCTAGAGCAGACACTTGCGAGATACTGTACCGACGCTCAGTGCGCTCAACTCACACCAAAGTATCACCTGTGTACTTCTGTATATTAGACCAAATATATATATAGTATCTTAGTGTCTGTGTTTATTGTCACCATACTTTACGTAACAATAGAACCGTTACATAATGAATATAGTGTGCTATAAACACAGTACAGTATAGGGAAAATAATATTTTCAATAAATATAATGAGTATAGAATATAATGAATACAGAGAACTATAACAACAATAATCAGAGAATAATTAGTTTAGGAAATAGAAAATAATGCACACAGGCTGGTAAAAGGATAACAAGAAGGTGGTGATGAAAAGGGACAATGGAGAAGATTGGAAAGGAAAGAATACTGGTGGTGGTAGAGGGAAGGGAGGATGGCAATGTAGGAGGATGAGGAATAGGAGAAGGGGAAAAATGCAGGGAAAGGGGGGGGGGGAAATGAGACAGTGGTAGAGAGAGAGAAAATTACATTAGAAAATTACATACACCAAACAGTATGTTTGGTGTAGGGACAGGTGGATGGCTACCCAGGTGCTGCTCTTTGCACACTTAATACTTAATTATACGGCACTTACATAAAGCCCATACAATTTTGCAAGCCATTCATAAAACGGGATTTTGAGATAGTATCCATTAGTGGCTGATGATTTTATATCATTACAATGAAAAAACGGCCAGAACCGGGCCCCCTATGAAAAAAAGCATTCTATGTCTGCCATCGACCGGAACAGGCACCCAGAAAGGTAAGCGCCCCAAAACAAACCCCTATTCTGGTTAAAATTGCTACCTAAAACCGAACTAGTGGATAGAACTCCCCAACCGAAAACAAGCAAACTAGTGTGACGTCACACACTGCCGCGCCGCTGTCTGCGCAGCTCCCCCCTCCCCGGGAGGGGGAAGGGGGAGCCCCAGACCCCCCGCGCCGGCTACCCACACCTCAGTTCTTGAGGCTGGATGTCAAAAACGCGAAAAAAACGCCGACCGGAGGGAGGGAGGGATGCCGGGGAGCCTCCGGGACTCACCCAGAAAATGGCGTTTCATTACATTCAACGCTGGTTTTCTGGGGGAGCCCCGTCGGCTCCCCGGAGCTAACTACCCACAGACAGAAAAAGAGGGACTTACCCGGGAGGCGGTCGTCGCTCACCCCTCAACTCGAAGCCGAGACAACTGGCTGCAACCGCCGACCCAAAGCAACACAGGCCCGACGAGGCCCAGGGACATTCACAAGGTAACGAGCAGCCAGGACCCTGTTCGACCGCCAAAATCCCCGCGCCCGAATATCAGACCAAGACATATTCCCAAAGACGGCAGCAAGAGCCGCGAACTTACGAACGTCATGGGCACGGGGATAGACCGCAGGCTGGCTGGACCTAATAACCCTGCGGACGACCTGAGAGACCCGAACCCGCGAACAGGGAAGAAGGGAAACCGGATCAACCCACAGCGCGTCCCCGGACACAGAAGCTGTGGCGCGCAAATAACGGCGAAGCGCCGCAACCGGACACAAAACATGATGCACCCCCGGCCTGACCAACCAAGCATCAACCACCCATGGACCCCTCCGGAACGCAGCAGTCTCATTCTTCGCCAGAAAAGAAGGAGACGGCTGCAAACGAACAAAACTATCACCACGACCAAAAGAGCAGAAACCCCTGCGCCGGAGGAGAGCATGAAGCTCCCCTACCCGACCCCCAGAGGCCAAAGCCAACAAGAAAAGTGCCTTGGAAAAACAATCCTGGACCGAAGGGGCCACAACGAAACGAGGAGATGAAAGGAACGCGAGCACTCTGTCCAAAGACCAGGACGGCTCAGGCGATGCATGAGCAGGCCGGAGGTGAAACAATGCACGAGACAGCTTGCGAAACGGCGCAGACGTAACATCGATACCGAAAGCAAGCTGAAGCGGCTCCGCCAGCGCCGCACGATACGAAGCGACAGTGTTAGGCATAAGATGACGGTCCTGAAACAACCACGAGAGGAAGGACAAGACCACCCGAACAGACAAGGAGCTAAGACGACGAAGACGCAAAAAGAAACGGAAGGACCGCCAGGAAACTTCATACTGCCGCCGAGAAGAAGCCCTCAGGTGGGACACCAACAAGGAGGCCACCTGATCACCATAGAGATGATGATAGACTCGAGTCAAAAAAACCATACGCGAAGACTCGAGGAGAAGATCGAACCAGCTACGTGACGTACCGGCCCGATCTGCTGAAAGAGGCGGAGCCGCGGGAAAACCCTCGGGTTCGGACACCGAGCAACCAGCGCCTGAAACCAAGGCTGGGCCGGCCACCAAGGGGCCAGAAGGACAACTCTCCCCCGGTAAGTCTCTAAGCGAGTCAGGACCTGGAGCAACAGCCGAACCGGGGGAAAAGAGGTACAGGAACCCCCACCTCGACCAGTCGAGCCGAAAGGCATCGACCCCGACGGCCTCGCAATCGGGGAAGGGCGCCGCATAAACTGGCAGACGCCGCGACCACGCCGACGCGAAGAGGTCCACCTCGGGGCGCCCGAACGTCTGGCAAAGCCAACGGAAGGACTCGTCGTCGACCGTCCACTCCGTGGAGAGGGGAACGAAGCGAGACAGGGCGTCGGCCAAGACGTTGGACACGCCCCGTACGTGAACCGCCAGGAGAGCCAAACCCCGAGAACTCAGCAGACGAGTCACCCGAAGCGACCAACCCCAAAGAGACAAGGACCGCATCGAACCCCCGCGGTTCAGCCAATGAACCACCGGAGAGCAGTCCGAATGGAGCCGATTCGTCGATCCGCGGGCCACCCGAATCCTCCCCAGAGCAAACCACACTGCCGCGAACTCCCGCACCGTACTGTGAGCTCGACGGAAGGACGGATCCCAACGCCCCTGGCCGGCTTGGTGAGCACTGGTCACAAAACCCCAGCCCAGAGACGATGCATCCGTGTACACATCGAGCGAGGGCTCGGGTAGGCGCCAAGGCACTGAACCCCGAAAAACCCGAAGAGGAAGCCGGTGACGCAGCAACCGACGCAAGTCCCCAGGGGGTCGAACTCTGCGATCGCGAGAGAGGCGGAAGGGGGAACCCCGAAGGAACCAGAACAGCCGTCGAAGCCAAACCCGACCCGGCGGGTAGACCACCATCGCGAAGTTCAGGCTCCCGCACAGCCCCTCGAGCAACCGCCGGGTGACCCGAGGGCCCTCCAGAAACAGACGAAGGCGGGACCGCAGCCGCAGGAGAGACTCCGGAGGGAGAGACAAGGAGGCGGTTCGAGAGTCCCACACGAGACCCAGCCAAGTCCGAACCTGAGAGGGAACCAGATGGGACTTCCTCCAGTTCATCAAGAACCCGAACCCGGCGAGCTGGGAAAGAACCAAATCCCTGGCTAGCAAGCAAGCTGACTGGCTGGGAGCCCAAACCAGCCAGTCGTCGAGGTAGGCCAACACCCGAACACCTAGGAGACGCAAACGAGCCACCACAACCCGTGTAAGGCGTGTGAACACGCGAGGTGCCAGGTTCAACCCGAACGGGAGACAACGAAAGCGGTAACTCAGACGCCCCACTACAAAACCGAGCCAGTCCCTGAACCGCGGATGAATCGGGACATGCCAATAAGCGTCCCGGAGGTCCAGGGACACCATCCAAGCTCCCGGCTCCAAGAGGAGCCGAAC